GTGTTGAATAAATCAGCGTTTCTCAACCTTTTAAATACCTGCGACCCCCATTAAAAACAATGTTTCGTCACCCACTTGAGCAGCCAACCAAACATGAAACAAAAACAAATCTAGATGTAAAAAAAAAAAACATTACAGTTTTAAGCTAATGTGACATCTGCTGCGGGGTTAAAAAAGAATTATAGACGTAGCTGGAGCGTTGTTTCTGCCCGACGAAGCGCTACATTAATATCCATTCGATTTCTCTGTTTTAAAAAAAAATTATTTACATACATAAGCAAGTATTTTCACACACATACAAAGCTCTTTAGGTGGTAATTCTACAGACTGAAAAAGAACTACCACCTATCGTACCTTGTTACGTGATTCAGCATTATTTTCTGGGCCCACTAGGACTTTTCCGCGGACCACCGTTGGGACGCGGACCAGTTATTGACCAACACTGTTACAGATAACACAGTCCATTGGCGAGGCGAGATCGCTTCGCAAGTGTAAATGTTAGCTGGTAGCGATTACACCGGAGCAGGTGTCACGTGGGAATTTCAACCGCGCTGCTTCGCGGTTGAGAGTATTCGTGCAATTCCCTAGCATCGTAGTACTGGTAACGGGTAGCTTTCACACATTACATTTCCTGCATGAGTGGCGTAAGCCGAGAGTGAGCTTTCTTTTCGTTATTTTTGACACGTAAACCGAGTGGTGTATTTGTAGTTGTAGAACTTGAGTTTTGCCTGCACATCCGTTTTACAGATGTGGCTTATTGCGCTCCGACCTCGGCGGAAACACCCATAATTACTCAGCTTTTACGACATACTTGTTAGCATGAGGGGAGGGGGGTCTGTTATTTTTTGTTGCTCCACAATAGGACCGTTCAACCTCCACGGAAGGTTAGTCTTAACGAATATAAGTTTATCACCAAAAGCCAGATACATCGCTGGCATAGAAAGCGTCCTTTCCTTTACTTTCCTTTTCCTTTCTTTCCTTTTCTTTCCTTTCCCATTCCCATCTTTACTTTCCCTTTCTCTCATTTCCTTTCCTTTCCTTTGAGCTCATTTCCTTTCCCATCCTTTTCTTTCCTTTCCTTTCCCTTTCCTTCATTTACTTTGCCCATTCTTTTCTTATCTTTCCTTTGTTTTATTTCACTTTACTTCAAGTATCCGCTGCCCTTAGTTCCGTGCTCTGTACAGTACAGTGACGTTGCAGAACCAGCCACAGTAATGTATGGTCGTCTGATTTGACTTGATAATTTTCCGTTCATTAGTTTACTGTAAATACCTGAAATTTCGGCTCTTGATGCTATTGTCGACATCAGCACAAAGCGCTCTGCCTCAAGCCGCCTGCATCTGAAATCGAACAGGGTTTCTCGAAATCACGAAGCGCTATCTCAACCCCTACCGCCGCCCTACACTTTCTTCTTCTTAAAGTCCATGCCGTGTGGCGTTTTTAGTCATGTCTATCCACAGCCTTCCGTCTCGTGTACTTTCAATCAACCCTGACACAGATGATCTTCCTTGTCATGATGTAAAAATGTCCACTATCTTTTCTCTCGTTCTCCCTTTTAACTTTCCTACTATCACTATGTACTCCCAGTTTTCTCCTTCTCATCACATGACCAAAGAATATAGATTGTCTCTTTCTGATGTGGGCAGTCAGTTCTCTTAGTGAGTCAGTTTCTTTCAAGACATCCTCATTACTCGTTTTATCTGTCAAGGGCATTCTAATCATTCTTCTATACAACCACATCTTCGCAGCTACCAAATAAGTTTTCACCAACTTACAACCGTCTTTGATTCTCTTCCGTTTATAAAGATTGCACCTTCTTAAAAGTGTCAGCAAAAAAAAAAAAAAAGTTTAAAAGAAATTATATGTTGCGCATTATCTGCCGTTAACTGTTCTATTAAACTGTGCAGAACATACGATGAGAAATGTGACCGCTTGATCCATTGATGACACGGATGCATATCCAGTTTCAGAGCTCAGATTTGCGGATGTTAAAAGACACAAGTCACGATTAACATCATTTCCCGAACTTTAAAAAAGCAAGAATGTATGCAGGTAAAACTGCTTATCAACCAGCAACTCACAATCAGTAATAAAGTAATTGAAAATGTCACCAAATACGCCCCATAAGCTTGCGGTGTAAATTGTTTAACCCCCCCCCCCTCTCCCGTATGCTCGGAGGAAGACGAGGTAAAGAAAGCCCATATCTCATTAATCAAGGCAATTGGGCCAAATGAATGGATGTCAAAAACTGCCGAGAAGTAACACTCCAACAAAGCCTGTTAGATAATTGTCTGAAATGACCAACGTCACATTTCCACCAATAATATGGCAATAACAATAGGATCTGTTTTCATAGGAGCGTATTGATAATTATCCTTGTATTTCTTACGGGAAATTTCGTTTCTATACGTCCTGTTTGGTGTGCATCTAACGATCGGGAACGGATTAAGGATAGAAGGCACTAACTACCTCATTTTTTTTAAAACCAGATTTCAAGAAATGAACTATTCTTTAATTTCCACCACTTTCCCCTTCCCCCAAAACAAATGCTGACTACCCCAAAACGACACACACTGTGATCTCTATCAACTAATCTCACCTCCTCTCCTTTCTATGAAAGACTGTCGCCAGCCTATCACCCTTATATTTCATTAGCACCCAAGCCGAGTGCCATCCACCAGACTCCCTCTAGGAAGCCACTAAACCGTTTTCCCGACCATCGTTCCTCCTAGATAATGGTCATTGCGGATTAGCTGGCTTCCGCGAAACAAGATTCAAGGGACGCAAATGACACGGACAAAGTGAAGCTCCATTGAGTTTGCTTGCTCTTCAGCTCAAAGGCTGTGCGGCTCTCGGGTTTCTTCAAATGTGACCCATCACAGAGGGCCCATTTAGTTCAGGTATTTAGTTGTTGTTGTGTTTGTTAATTTTTGTTCTCCCTATGGTGTACTTCGTTTTTCTGCAATTTGCTGAGTGTTTTAACTGGCGCGTCTTCCGTTTTATAGAGTTGATTTTATGTCCGCATACAGCCTCTGTGGAACTGACACTAAGAAAACATTGGGTGTGCTGGCCGTGATAGTGTTCAGTTCCCATACAGTGTAGGAAAGGGGCCTCAGGGGATCCATCCCTCGCTTACGTGCTGAATAAATAATAATAATAATAATAATAATAACATTGTACAGGACGGTAAATATAAAACACTAATATATATATAAATACTACAAGTATGAAGAAAATTGTTTTTCTCCCAGTCACTGGTTTTCAGATGAGAAGGCCAAATACCTCTATGAAGTCTGTGGTGTGACGCAGGTATTCCATTGTTCCATACAACTTAGTTTCCATTAGAATGTCAACCGACCAAACCAGGGATCTCTTTACTACATGTAGAGCGCATGCCTGTAGCCTATGTTCAGTATTCTGTGCTGCCTGACTACACGGGCAAAGTTCTGAACCAGTCTTAAATGTCAGGTACAAATGCCTGCATAGTCTGCTGTGTCCAGTTGCAGTCTAATAATAATAAATAACATGAACACAAACAGTACAATGTACATTGTCTATCATTTGTCGTCAGGTCGTGCTTCTACACCTCTCCGTGTGGGTTCGGGGGCCCTGTTGTGGGGGAAAAACAAGAATAGACCCGCTGCCTTCTCAACAAGCTTGTCGTAGGAGTCGACTAATTTGGTTACTTCTGTCGAAGTCGGAGTGCATCTGCATAAGCGGCAAGGAACAACCAACTGCACATAAAATAAGCCAGTAAAACGGATGCACACGTGAAACTCCGGCCCTGGCACAAAGCCAGATTTTAAGTGGACGAACAACCAGGACTTTCTGCCGGAGCTTCCAGCTGGTGAACACAGAAGAGAAACAGCCATTTCGCGTGAAGATTGAGAGCCAGTCTGTGAATGAATTGGCGTGAATTCATCGACGGCCTGTAGCTGCAAGGAGATAAAAGGTAGAAAGAGAAGATAACCACATAGGATCTTCTTCTTCTTCTTCTTCTTCTTCTTCTTCTTCTTCTTCTTCTTCTTCTTCTTCTTCTTCTTCTTCTTCTTCTTCTTCTTCTTCTTCTTCTTCTTCTTCTTCTTCTTCTTCTTCTTCTTCTTCTTCTTCTTCTTCTTCTTCTTTTTTTCTTCTTCTTCTTTTCTTCTTCTTCTTCTTTTTCTTCTTCTTCTTTTTCTTCTTCCTTGCTTCTTCCCTTCCCCCCATTCTTCTCCCCTTCTTCCTTCTCTTCTTCTTCCTTCCTCTTACACGTGTGTCGAAATGGGAAGAAGAGATTCCCATTAACTGTTTATCTGCAGCGTTTTATCAGGTCTGTCACTCACTCACCCCCCAATCTTCCTGTATATAGACTATTTCTAGACCTCTTCCTTACGTACGACGTACATACTGGGTTGGCACTGGGAAATAGCGTGGTGTTTTTTCTTAGACACCGATTGTCTGTCTGTGCTGGATGTGCGTGTTGGTTCATTTCAAGTTCGTAAATCGCCAGGTAGATTATTGGGTGTAGTTCGTGTGAATATCTGTTTTATTTTGTGTTCTCTCTCTCTCTCTCTCTCTCTCTCTCTCTCTCTCTCTCTCTCTCGCTCTCTCTTTCTCTCGCTCTCTCTCTCTCTCTCTCTCTCTCTCTCTCTCTCTCTCTCTCTCTCTCTCTCTCTCTCTCACCGTATTACAACCACCTTTGAGTTTCTTCACCTCAGTTTGCTTCTCATGACGTACGTTACCAAAGAGTGTTTTTTGTCTGCTTTTGATTCGGGCAGTCAGTTCTCTTAGTAAGTTTCATCGAAGACATCTTCATTACTCTTTTGTGTGTGTGTGTGTGTGTGTGGGTAAGCTTTTATCTATGAAACAGCGTCTCTACCGCTTTTCAATTAATTTCTCACTTATGTTCCAACTGTCCATGATTCACTCCCATGTATCAAGGATATGATTTATGTAAAATGTACGTTACATTCATGTAACTTTGGTTAACCTTTCATTCACATAATATTTGTTACATTGTGATGTTTGTTTCTTCTTGGACTGAGCCTCATATAAACCGTTACGGGTTAGAATTAGGTTCGATTGCCATAATTATTTTCACTATAAAGCGGTTATTTTACCAAACCCCCCCCACACACCCCTGTGGGTTCCGGGGCGCCATTGTAGTTGAAGACAAGAACATACTCATTGCCTGCCTCACAGGCATGTCGTAGGAGGCCTGTTCCTAATTGGAACATTCCTTCGAAGTCGTAGTGCGTTTGCCGGAGAGGTAAGGAACCAACCGTCTACAAGTATGCCAGATCTGTAAAACGGGTGCACACGCTAAACTAGTCTTGAAGAAAAGCCGAAGTCTAGAATTAGGTAAAGAACCAGGACTTTCTGCCGATGAAAGCACTCAACAAGTGGATATGGTGTAGGTGGATATGGTGTAGGTGGATATGGTGTAGGTGGATATGGTGTAGGTGGATATGGTGTAGGTGGATATGGTGTAGGTGGATATGGTAAAGGTGGATATGGTAAAGGTGGATATGGTAAAGGTGAATATGGTAAAGGTGGATATGGTAAAGGTGGATATGGTGTAGGTGGATATGGTGTAGGTGCATATGGTGTAGGTGCATATGGTGTGTGTAGGTGGATATGGTGTATGTAGGTGGATATGGTAAAGGTGGATATGGTGTAGGTGGATATGGTGAATGTAGGTGGATATGGTGAAGGTGGATATGGTGTAGGTGGATATGGTGTATGTAGGTGGATATGGTGAAAGTGGATATGGTGTAGGTGGATATGGTGTATGTAGGTGGATATGGTGTATGTACATATGGTGTATGCAGATATGGTGTAGGATGCCTGCCATGGAGCAAGTGGGCCGTGCAACTGAACCGTATCAGTGCCAACAAAAACTGAGACAGCGGTGAGTGAGCAGGGACACTCCCATAAGCGCTCAGTCCCCATCTTCAGGAGCAAGCAAAGAGTTCCACTTCCGATGTTACCAGTAACTGTCTGATTATATATCCGTGTCGTCCTTCCCTTGAGTGTTGAGCGTCGGCCAGATCCATTGGTAACTCCTCGCAGCGCCATTCTTCTTAGACCGTAATGATCTGTCTGCGCCTCCGCACTGTTCACTCGCTGCCAAAGGGCCCTCATAATAGCTAAATTGTTATACATCAGTTTACAACCAGGTGGTGCAGAGCCAGTCAGTCTATTTGGCTGCTCATTTCCCAACTCACCGGCATGCCCTGGAGAAAATATACAAAAGATGCTAACTATCCGGGACCTCTGAAGTGATGCTTGCCACTCTGCACAACAGTCAGGTCAAATAGGCCAGACACGGACGTGCCCAGAATTCAAGTTCTGTGACACGGACGTGCCCTCAGAATTCAAGTTCTGTGACACGGACGTGCCCTCAGAATTCAAGTTCTGTGACACGGACGTGCCCTCAGAATTCAAGTTCTGTGACACGGACGTGCCCTCAGAATTCAAGTTCTGTGACACGGACGTGCTCTCAGAATTCAAGTTCTGTGACACGGACGTGCCCTCAGAATTCAAGTTCTGGTACAGACGTGCCCTCATAATTCAAGTTCTGTGACACGGACGTGCCCTCGGAATTCAAGTTCTGTGACACGGACGTGCCTTCAGAATTCAAGTTCTGTGACACGGACGTGCCTTCAGAATTCAAATTCTGTGACACGGACGTGCCCTCAGAATTCAAGTTCTGTGACACGGACGTGCCCTCAGAATTCAAGTTCTGTGACACGGACGTGCCCTCAGAATTCAGGATCTGTGACACGGATGTGCCCTCAGAATTCAAGTTCTGAAACAAGTCTTATTTCACACGTCTTATTTACAGAAGTGGACTAACAGCCAAATATTTCCGCTGGAGGTTACAGCCGGTGTTCGCGGAGTAGAAGGTGAATATAGTTTCAACTGGGTCCTTCAGTGTCAGAACTCTTCCATAGCTGATGACGAAGAGGACAGAGCACCTGTGGGAATGTGCCAAGTGCTTCAATGTCAGTTCTTTACTGATTGATTCGCTAATGTATGACGATTTCACTAAGGCCACATGTCATTTAATTAATCACCAAAGAGCGGGCGTGATCTGTCATTTTACACTTGTGGAGCTATTGAGGAGATCAGATCACCCATTGATCTGTCCGGAGTGCTGTGATGCTAGTCCGCACTAATCAACAATTACCAATCATTAAGATGTACTGAAATGATTGATATAAACACGAGGCATGTAGAGACTGATTGCGGTCTGACTGAGAGGATATTGACACTGTAAAAACTTGTCATATTTATATCACGAGGAATGTGACCCACAACCTTCCCAGTTTCGTTAGAAATTTTTTGTCATGAACGATATAGAGGGAAAGAAATTGTGATACGCCTTGGTAAGGCAACCTTCGGGGTTTACCTCCTCAACAAAATACGCAATTCCAAATTATTCGGTTTTGAAAGCAAGGTGATTATTTGCAATCATAACATTATTTTATTTGTAAAATATAGCAAAGAAAATCGGGTAATCCCAAAGACATGGAACGAAAGTAAAATGTTTCTAAAGAATTTGGAGGGTAATTGATGATTATTAAATGGAATTTCCACGTAGGTTCCGGTAGTGCATTTGGAATGGGGAGGGAAAATGGGGGGGGGGGGGGGGGGGGATCCCTCTTATGAAGCATGTCGTAAGAGATGACATATATAATTTTGCCGAAACGGTATATGTTGGGCTGACCGGCGGAGCGTATCGCAGCCTACTCATCAACCAGCCCGTGAGAAGGGAAACAAACTGAGAAAGCATAATCGTTCTAGAAAAAGTGCAGTGAAATGTTGGTAAGAGAGTGGTGACGTACATTTCTCCCTACTTTTGCCGCCTCTCATATGTTTCGCGTTGTTTCAGCTCTTCTTGTGTATATTTGCTAAGGTTTTCTAAAGTCTGTGATGCCCTTATTTGCCGTTTATAAGTCTGTTGTTTTGTCCGTTGATAAAGACTGTGGTCAAACGATGGGTTTATATGTCTTTGCATCCCTGGGGTTTTAGTCGTAGTTTTGGTTTTCTTTAGACATTTATTCACGAGAGAGAGAGAGAGAGAGAGAGAGAGAGAGAGAGAGAGAGAGAGAGAAAGGAGAGAGAGAGAAGGAAGGGAGAGAGAGAGAGGGGGAGAGAGAGAGAAAAATAAAGAAAGAAAGAGAGAGAAAGAAAGAGGGAGAGAGAGATAAATAAAAAAGAGAGAGAGACATAAAAAGAGAGAGAGAGAAAGAAAGAGAGAAAGAGAGAGGGGGGAGAGATAGAGAAAGAGAGAGAGAAAGAGAGAGAGAGAGAGAGAGAGAGAGAAATATAAGAAAAATAAAAGAGGGAGAGAGAAAGAGAGAGGGGGGGGGAGAGAGTGATAAATAAAGAGAGAGAGAGAGAGAGAAAAAAAGAGAGAAAAGTGTCGATCTAGATTTCCATTCACCAGGGATATACAACTGGTGGCTCACAGACCCAGTCTGGCCCGTAAAGGCCTCGTATGTGAGTCACCAGGGCTATGCGGCCCTGCGGAAAGTTGCTGGTTGTATTGTAATAATGATCATTCTGTGTTGAGCCTGGGGCCTCTGGACCGTGAAGATCTTCTCCTTCTTCAGCATTCCTAGCCCGTTGAGACTCATTGCTGCAGATATCACCCGACTCCATTCATCTCTCTGGTTGGCCTTCTTCAGCATTCCGAGCCCGTTGAGGTTCATTGCTGCAGATATCACCCGCCTCCATTCATCTCTCTGGTTGCCTTCTTCAGCATTCCGAGCCCAGTTGAGGTTCATTGCTGCAGATATCACCCGACTCCATTCATCTCTGGTTGGCCTTCTTCAGCATTCCGAGCCCGTTGAGGCTCATTGCTGCAGATATCACCCGACTCCATTCATCTCTCTGGTTGGCCTTCTTCAGCATTCCGAGCCTTTTGAGGTTCATTGCTGCAGATATCACCCGACTCCATTCATCTCTCTGGTGGCCTTCTTTTTCCAGTTGGTGTCACGGTGAAGATCCTTATGTTCAATATTTTGGCCCCTTAGTAAACATGGTTGAATGGTCCTGCCAGGCATGATGCCAAAATGATTGTTAAGAATAGAATAGAATAGAGGCATCGACAAGGAGTACAGCAGGCTGACGATGAGAGTACGATGATGACAGCGATAATGGTGCTGATAACTATGACGATGCTACTCCTCTTGGCCTCACCCCTCCCCCTACTGCTAAAGCCCTCAACGTCGCAGAGAGGAGTTAGCTGTAGTTTCCAGTCTTGTCCTAGTTGCACAGCTCGTGTTAATGTTATACTCCTTTCTGTTGTGTCACTTTTACTCCTTCCACCCACTGCTTTCTTGGTCGGCCTCTTGCCGTGTACCCTGCTCTTCTTATGTACTAGACTCTGGCTTATAGCTGATTTTGTTCCATTCCGACCAGTTGAAGAAACCCTTTGATATTTTGTGAAATTACTAGCTGTACCCTGTGCTCGTTGCTACGCCTCCAATAGAAATTGAATTTAAAGAAAGCTCGCTGTAACAATATTTAGTAATTATATTGGATCATTGTTCTTTTGTTCTTTTTCTTAGGCGAAAAACTGGCAAGTTTAAAGTTTCATTTTAATTATGTTTATTAAAGTGCTTTAGAATATACAATATTCTTGTTTTTCCTTCTGGTGCGTGAAATGATGACGACAAAACGATAGTGATGATGGTGGTGATGTCGTGTCCACAGCTGGATGCACTAGAAACCAACGAAACAACAGAGGAATTTGAAAAGCGCAGAGAACCTATAATGTACTTGAGTTTCACATGTCACAGATTTGTCACCCCCGGCTAGGCAGCAGGGAGAAGTGCATTCACCGCCTCTTCAATATTGGTTGTGACATCGGATAGCAGTTTGTTTTAGGGGAGCTCTGTCGAATTCACACGATCGGTAGCTACGTTAGTGTCCGTCTGACTCAGCGTCTACTTGGGAGACCTACTTGTGTGTCAGTTTAACTTCTTGGGTCATTCTTCTTCTTTCTTCTTCTTCTTCTTCTTCTTCTTTTCTTTTCTTCTTCTTCTCTTCTTCTCTCTTCTTCTTCTTCTTCTTTTCTTCTTCTTCTTTTCTCTTCTTCTTCTTTTCTTCTTCTTCTTTCTCTTCTTCTTCTTCTTCTTCTTCTTCTTCTTTCTTCTTCTTCTTCTTCTCTTCTTCATCATCTTCTATTTGTTCTTGTTTTTATTGTTCTTCTTCTTTTTGTTCTTCTTCTTCTTCTTCTTCTTCTTCTTCTTCTTCTTCTTCTTCTTCTTCTTCTTCTTCTTCTTCTTCTTCTTCTTCTTCTTCTTCTTCTTCTTCTTCTTCTTCTCTTCTTCTTCTTCTTCTTCTTCTTCTTCTTCTTCTTCTTCTTCTTCTTCTTCTTCTTCTTCTTCTTCTTCTTCTTCTTCTTCTTTTCTTCTTCTTCTTTTCTTCTTCTTCTTCTTCTTCTTCTTCTTCTTCTTCTTCTTCTTCTTCTTCTTCTTCTTCTTCTTCTTCTCTTCTTCTTCTTCTTCTTTTCTCTTTCTTCTTCTTCTTCTTCTTCTTCTTCTTCTTCTTCTTCTTCTTCTTCTTCTTCTTCTTCTTCTTCTTCTTCTTCTTCTTCTTCTTCTTCTTCTTCTTCTTCTTCTTCTTCTTCTCTTC